TCGTATCGTGATGAAAACTGTGTCCACGAAGCAATCTTCACAGGTTTAGCATCCTTTGATGGTTAGCGGATTCGCACGGAACTGCTTTCTCCAAACTGGTACTATTGGCAAGGAAGTCAAAACTTGCACTTGTCTAGTGAAGTATCACCTTGTATGCAAGGGTTTAGGAGAAATTTGGATGCTGAAACAATCTTGAAAAGTGTCATGAGCCAAAGGGAGCCTCAGTTGCTTTTTGATTGAAAATTTATCTAATGGTAAATTATCATAAAGTCTTTACCGTTGAACAGTTTTTGTTGTACGACCGTAGTATTTCCTTCTTGCAATATCAGTCCCTTAAAACGTCAATCTCGCTTTCAGAGCTTCTTCTCCAGTCCTGGCAAGCTTAAAATTCTACCGGTTTCTTCTGGACATTCTTTTTGCATACGATCTGTTGTTTCAGGTCGCAAGCTCCACCTAGTCCTGTTGAGGATTTCCCAGCATTACCAGTTGCTACAAAACAGCTTCCCTCTACCTCTGCTTGGTCGAAGAAGAAGAATTCCAAGGTCAAGGTGAATTTTGTCTGCCAGATTTTTATCCTAGCTACAAAATGTGGTTTAGTCGGTGATTGTGGATTGTAAAGTTCCCAATAATGCAAAGCGATTACCGCAACCAGATCTTTGGCCTGAAAGACCTGCCACCACTCAAACGCGAGAACCGGAACCAGCGCAGTGGCAAGAGGTTGGTGGAACGCGGATCTATTTAGTTGTTGCTTTTTTGAAATGGGTTTGTTAAGGTGCCACAGAAGGCGAAGAAGCAGGATAAGAAGAAACAGGTGAAACAAAAGCCAACCAAAAACAACAACCGCCCAGAGGCAGAAGACCTCGGGTCGTCGTCTGAAGACCAGCTGCATCTCGCTTCCGTTGAAAATCATAATGAGCAGCACCTGGCAGAATCGAGTAGAACTAGAGAAGAACCTCTTCCGAAGCAGAAACTTGTTGGTGTACTCCGTAAAAGTAAGAAAAGTGCTCCAGATACTGAAACTCAACATCCCATCCGAAAGGACGATAAAAGTCCATCAAAAGAGGAATCTCAAGCGAGTGATGAAACCGAGCAGGCACGGATAGCGGAAAGAAAGAGCGAAAATATTGATTTGTCGGAGGTGGAGAAATATATCGAGGAGTCAGCTGAGAAGGATGTTACTTCGAAAGAAACTGCAGCCAAATCTTCCTCGATTTTAGATTGGGTAGGCTTACAGCTCATGATCTGTATTACTCACACTTTATTTTTTGCTAATTTTCCTGGGAGTCAGAGTTCAATAAGTGACATCATTCCCATGGTACTGTTGCAGTTTTCCCTGCCTTCGAAGTCTTCACTCTT